GTGTATGTCAGAGGTGGCAATCCTGACCCTCGTACACGGACAGTCACATAGCGCCCCTTGTCTCCTCCCATCAACCAGCACCAGCCATCCCATCCCCCCCCCCCCCCCCCAACGTGATCCCTCAAAACCAACTGTGATTGGCTGCAGCAATCTTTTTCACAGCACTGTTGTGTATATGCCCCTTTTTCCAAAAAATAATATTACAAATAATTCGGCCAATAATTTTTTTTGGTTCACATAGTCACTCGGAAGCGCAAACACCCATTTCCCCACCTCCGCGAGCAACTGCTCAGACACGCTCGCAACAAAAAGCCAGAGGGCAGGAGATGAATCATAAATGGTCATAAACCCCTCCCCGTATACCCGCAGAGAGAGATGGGGGGAAATCGCAAATGGGGTTAAAACAGTCACCTACACTTCAAAAGGCCCCCACACAATACAGGCAGTAGGCGCCACGAGATATATATAATAAAAAAAATGTAACGGTTAAAAGTTCTAAAGTTGCCAACAGGGAAAGCAAACAGGCGGGTTTTGAGCCATATTAGTTAAACAAAGTTACCAACTTAGCCACGAAGATTAAGCAAACATTATCTATCCTCATCCTCACTCCAATTGAAAACCAAACTACAGTCTGTACCAGGGGGTCGTGAGTCCTCAATTGTTAATTCAATACTGATATTATTTACCTTTAATCATTTTCTACGCGACCTGACCGAAGCATCAAAGAATAATTATGGCAGTCAGGGTCGCTCTTAAGCCAAAACAAATTCCCTAGCCCCGTGATATCAGAAAAAAATAATAACTCAAGAACAAACAGCCAGAGAACCCACAATACAGGCAGTGGAACGAAGATTAGTAAAACCCTATGAAATACGTGGTAATAACAGGCTAAGTCACAAATCTTGAATAAACACAAACCAAATAATAAGTATGAAATTATCACTACCCCTATCATTACCCCAAATCCTATCACTACCCCAACCCCTATCACTACCCCTATCATTACCCCAACCGCTATCACTACCCTTATCACTACCCCTATCCTTTGGGTCTTTCGGTAAAGTCACATAGATAGAAAAATAATAATACAATAATAAAAATAAAGTGAATAAAAAAAATATCACGACGTTTCGACGTTCTTTTTCCTCCCGATGACGATTGCTTGTGTTGCGATCGAAACGTCGTGACATTTTTATTATTTTTTATTAACTTTATTTTCATTTTTATTATTTTATTATTATTTCTATCTACATGACTTTACCGAAAGACCCAAAGAATATGAATTCCTGCAGTCACGAAAGCTTTAAGTTGTACTTATTAAAAATTTGCTTTACATTTAGAAAGCCCCCATCTCAATGGCCTCTTGGTTTTTATTAGGGTCTATAGTACTACTATTTTGGCGTCAGATGGAGCGACCCACCGGCCAAAGTATTTCTGTGTCGCATCTATGGCAACGTCAAATCAACTTGGAACAAGCTAGGGCGCCCCCCGGGGGAAACGCACGCCGCCCTCGCCCAAACGACGCGAGAAATGGACGAGGGCTACCTGCTCATGGACGGGGCAGGCTAAAGAAGTTAGTCCGACTACGGCTGGGAACACTCAACATCGAAACATTGACAGGGAGAAGTCGAGAATTGTCAGCTGCCCTAAAGGCCCGTCGTATCGACATCGTATGCATCCAAGAAACGAAGTGGAGTGGAGCAAAGGCCAGGGAGATTGGAGGATACAAACTGTTCTACAACGGTGAAAGAAACACCAAGAACGGCGTTGGAATCGCAGTCAGCCAAAATCTACGAGACAACGTCGTGGCCGTCCACCGTGTTTCCGACCGCCTCATGTCCATCGAAATCGACTCAAACGACCTACGCCTCCGGGTGGTATCTTGTTATGCGCCGCAGTCTGGCTGCCCAGCAGATACCAAGGAGGAATTTTGGGAACAATTTGATGGACACATGCAAACGATAAATGGAGAAGAGCAGTTAGTAATTGGTGGAGACCTAAATGGACACGTTGGAAACGCCCGGGATGGATACCCTCGAAACCATGATGGCCAAGGATATGGTACCCGGAACGATGAGGGAAACCGAGCCCTGGACTTTGCGGAAGCCCATGATCTTGTCCTCGCCAACACCTTCTTCAAGAAGAGACCGTCCCATCTTATTATGTACGCCAGTGGTGGGAGATCAACTCAAATTGATTACTGGCTTGTCAAGCGGGATAAGCTGAAAACGGTGACAAACACTAAAGTCATACCATCGGACAACATCGCCCCACAATATCGCATCCTGGTCATGGACATGAAAATGGACTTTGGCCAGCGACATCGCCCACCAACAACGGGACAGCAGCGAATTAAGTGGTGGCGGATGAAGGAATGCAAGGATCAGCTGAGAGTCGCCCTCAATCAGATTGACGTGAACACCAACTGACCAGCGAATGCGATTTGGGAAGATCTCGCCGGCCAACTGTGCACAGCAGCAACGGAAGCACTGGGGCTAACGAAGCCAGGAAAACGCTTCATTGACAAGCAAATATGGTGGTGGAACGAAGAAGTGCAGCTACCAGTGAAAGAGAAGAAGCTAGCTTTCAAGAAGTGGCGCCAAACGCTCGCATATCTGGATAACCAACACTACAGAAACTGCAAATCGGCAGCGAAGCGAGTAGTAGCAGCGGTGAAATTAGCTCAATACGACCAACTGAGATGTCGAACTGGACACCCCAGAAGGTGCCAATAAGATCTATCGACTGGCAGAGACGCGCCATCGTTCGACTCAGGATATTGGTCAGGTTAAATGCATAAAGGATGAGAATTACAGCACTCTCAGAGACCCGCCCGCCATCCTTCAACGCTGGAGCGACTACCTCTCTGGAATCTGCAACCAGGAATTTCCCCACCCACCAATTATTAGCGCTGAACACGTCCTCGGTCCCGTTTTGCTTATCACCATCATCGAAGTGGAACAAGCTATCAATAGAATGAAGAATGGGAAAGTGACTGGCCCGGACGATATCCCTGCTGAGGCCTGGAAGATCCTTGGCAGGCAGGGTGCTGCCCTCCTTACCCAGCTCTTCAGCACCATCACGAGCACCGGTGAGGTCCCAGAAGCCTGGTCGACCAGCACGACGGTTCCAATTTGGAAGGGTAAAGGGGACGTGGCAGAATGCTCGAAATACAGGCCAATCCGGCTCCTGTGTCATGCGATGAAGATCTTTGAGCGAGTTTTGGACACGAGGATTAGAAATATCATCACCCCATCACCCAACCAATGCGGCTTCATCAAAGGATGTGGCACTACGGACGCCATATTCGTGGCGAGGCTCCTGCTGGAGAGGCACAGAGAGAAGAACAAAGCTGTGCACGTGTCGTTCCTAGACCTTGAAAAGGCATCTGACAGGGTCCCCCACGACCTCATCTGGCACTCGCTTCGATCCCATGGAGTCCCTGAAACCTACGTGCATTGGGTGCAACTCCTATACAAGAACGTCACCAGTGCAGTCAGGTGCGCAGTGGGCATATCACCGCCATTTCCCATCAGCGTTGGAGTGCACCAAAGATCGGCCCTGTCACCACTCCTGTTTATCCTGTGCATGGACATGATCACTGCTGACCTGCACACGCCCCTGCCATGGTCAATTCTATATGCGGATGACGTCCTACTCTCAGATGAAGAGAGAGGAGATGTGGAAAGACAAACGCGCCTGTGGAAGGAACGTTTGGACGAAAATGGAATGAGGTTCAACATCAAAAAGACGGAGTATATGGAGTGTGGCACCCAAACCGACGGCACCATCAGCATTGACGGAGAAGATCTGAAGAAAGTGACGGACTTTAAGTACCTGGGCGCCACCATCAGCTCAGATGGAAGCATCACGACTGATGTGAGGTCACGAGTCAATGCGACATGGATGAAGTGGAGGCAAGTCACCGGAGTCCTCTGTGATCGGAAAATGCCGGATAGGCTGAAGGGAAAAATGTACAAGATCATCGTCCGACCAGTGGCACTCTATGGATCCGAGTGCTGGCCAGCCACAACTGTACACGAACAAGCCCTCCATACCATGGAGATGAGGATGCTCAGATGGAGCCTTGGACTGACTCGATGGGATCGTGTCATGAACGAAGACGTTCGGAAGCGACTTGGTGTGGCCCCCAGTGCGGACAAGATGCTTGAGGCAAGGCTTCGGTGGTACGGCCATGTGATGCGAAGTGAAGAGTCATCAGTGGCCAAGACTGCCATGCGTATTGAGCCAGAGGGACGCCGTCCACGCGGACGTCCGAAGAAGCGATGGATGGATCGAATAAAGGAAGACATGAAGACGGTCAACGCATCCCCCGAAGATGCCCTGGACCGAGCCAAATGGAGAAGACAATGCCGAAAAGCGGACCCTGTGCCACAGCGGGAACAACGCTAGGAAGAAGAAGAAGTACTACTATTAATGTAGTACATCACGATAAGAGGTAGACTTAGGTGCTACTAATCTTGATTTGAAGCTTTCGTGACTACAGTAATCCATACCCTTTGGTTATTTCAGTAAAGTTACGTACGTGACTTGAGTTAGGTGCTACTCTTTATACTTTTAGAACTGTATTTCAGGTTCATGTGTCAAAAACAAATTGCTCATACACTACACTAAATTAAAAGGGGTAAATACATCACTTCATTCCGTCCCTGATAATGTCTCGACGTTTTCACTGGATGGCCTACTTCAGAATGAGTAAACTTAAATCGATATTAACACAATACATTACTGTATTATTATTAAATTCGGTATCACGCTGGCAAGTACGAGGTCTTCATAGTCGCATTGGAACAATTACCTTGTTAGGAAATTGAATTTGAAAATGACTGAAGAAGAAGCAAAATCCTTCAGCTTACATGCCAAAGTGAACGTAACTGAACGATACCATTAATATAAAATAAGAAATTACCCCAACACCTATAACTAGCCCAACCCCTATCACTACCCCAACCCCTATATTAACTCCTGTAGCTACCCCTCCTTAACCACTCACACCTGTCCTACCATAACTACAACAGCCCCTTTATTAACCCATCATCTTATATTATAATTGTTGTAAAGCACTTTGTAATAAGCCAAAATATAAATCTATATATAATAGGATCAATTGGAAGACCTTGAGCCAGACTGTTACCATCGAAAGACCTCGAAGGTGCGGTGTCGTCTCCAACAACTGCAGGAACTGGAAGAAGGAAGCGATGGCGATGCGCGTGGTTAAATAAACGCCACTGGCGACATCAACGATGTCATTCCCCTTCTTCATGAGTAACCGCATTCCAGTGGCGTCACGGCGGTAGCGTTCTTGTCTATCGCGCCTGAAGTCTGTGCATAACATCGGCTCTGTAATGATTATTCTCCACCCCCCACACCCCGTCACGATTTTTGGTCCCCATTCAATTTGATGATTCTGATAACGATCATCTTATGATGATGAACACGATCCTGGTGGTTGAAATGTACGTTGAACTTCTTTCGCACCGTGCGCAGCCAACCGCGCGAGTCGGAGGTGCGGGGAAGGACAACAAACTAAACACAAAACGCATTTCTAAATAAATGAGTGTTCAATCTACATTTAACAGTGAAGAGCTTCAGCGGCTTCCTGATATCGGAAGAAAGAGTGCTCCAGACGGCCACACAAGCGGATCTGAAAGTGCGCGATGCAGTGACCGTCTTTGTTTGATGGCTATCCAAAAGCCACTGCGAGGATGAGCGGAGTTCTCGTGATGGTTTACGCTCCTTGACGAGATCAGCAAGGAATTTGTGATATATTTGTGGCAAGCACTTTGTGTGTCATGATGATAATGATGATGATGAACACGTTCATGATAGTTCACTCGATCACGATCATGGTGGTACCACTCTCGATGCTGATGATGGTGGTTGACTCATGATGTTGATGATGGTGGTGATGTTGAAGTCTCAGGGCTCGCACTGGAAGGTGGCTCCCCCGTGCACCTGCGGCAGCTCCGTGCAGTCGAGGCTCGCGATCAGCGTGAGCTCCCCGCGGCGCTTGGGAACCACGGGCACGCGCGTGTAGCCGTGCCCCTCCACGTTGCTGCGCCGAGACAGACACAAAGACAAAGGTCCCCTGTATAGCCTACAGCAAACTGTTGGGGCAAGTACTGCGAGCACCTGTTAAGGCCGGGACAGGCACAAGAACGGGTGGGGTGGGCAGCACGTCTGACCGGCTATTGTACCCCCAGTGCTGAAGCTTGCACACACCGCCTCAGTCAATTGAGGCTGAATCGACCTAGGGGAGGCCCAGAACTGGGTCGCGGGTGCATAACAAATCACACTCACCGCTACACTATCGTGAAGCGAGAGACACATACAGGCACGTGTTATCATCATCATCATCAGCAGAAGCGTGAGCATCAGGTATAATTGTCACTAAACACATAAACAGTATTGTGGGATTGCATTAGTAGTGGTGCATACGCACGCAAAAATTTTAACTCTCAATCGTCAATAACATCCTGGACTTAAAAAGAAAATTATATAATAACTGACGTTTCGGGCGATGATCCGTCTTCATAGCAAATGTGTTTGGTTCAATCGATAACACGTGTGTTATGAACAAGGGTAGTTGCCCGAAACATCGTCTATTTCCATTTGATCTTGTTATGATCGTGAACTTGTGACGACGGCACCATACCCGACAAGTATGTTGCCCGGCGCGGGCACGCCGGCTCCCTCTACGCGGACGCGCACGCGGTGCAGGGCGCGTGCCACGGGGTTCGTGAAGCAGAGCTCGGAGATGAGATCGCGACCCACGTGGGTCCCCTCCATCACCTGTGGGGGGATATCACACCATCTACCACTGCACCATTATCAGGCAATCACAAGCACAGCTTCTAGCATGAAACCACTATCATCATCTTGACACTATCATCGAGCATCGCACTATTATCACACCATCACACAAACACAGCTTCGAACATCACATTACCACCATCATCATGATGACACTTTCATGTAACTTCGCATTTTCATCATCACACCATCAATTACCACCACACCATTATCATGCCATCATCATCACACCATCATTAAACCATCATGCCATCGCAAACACACCTCCGTTAAGCACTGGTGTCTACGTACATTGCGAAATAAGTTCAACATACATCTAACATCACAGCATCATCTAACATTATACCATCATCATGCCATTATAAACACACCACCACCTACCATCGCACCACTGTGTCGGGTGGAGGAGGATTTATGATACCCAAAATAAATTTTGAGACGTATAGTTGTTGCTGCTGTTGTTATTGTTGATGCTGTTGTAATGTGCCACTCACGTGCAAGCGTGGGGAGCGCACACGGGTCACGTGCACGCGCGCGATCTCGGCGCCATGTCGAGCACCGGCGCACACGCCACCAGCACGAGTGCGAAGTGGTCCACGGCCAGGTGCAGGTACGCGCTCGCAGGCTCGCGCACCAGAACGCGCCGCTCTGTGCCGGACAACAAAGACAAACATCCCCTCGTAGATCCTTCAAACAGACTGTTGGGGCAAGTGCAGTTAGCAAGCATCTATGAAGGCCGGGACGGTACATAAACACGCATGCACACATGTGCACTTAACTATAATACTCATATAATTGCCCTCATTCTCTCCCTCCCCATCTCCATCCTTCCGTCTCACCCTCGTGCGGTCCCAGCTCCAGGATGGGCCTCCTCCTCCTCAAACCTGCCCAGGTTGACGCCCGTGTAAGTGGCCTCGTGGCCCGCACACTCACGCGGTGTCACGTGCTTGTTTTCGCCACGCGCACCTCGGCCGATAAATCCCAGCCCAGTGCAGTCTCCTCAAGAACTGGCACTGTCACCTCGGGGGGTAGTGGGTCCCCACCTGGGTCCCTGCCCATTGGGGCCCCAATAGGGTCCCCGTCGGGGGATACAATCAGGTACTAATCGGAGTTTACAATGGAGCGTACATCCAGAGCCCTGCCAATATCCGCTGCGTCTCCTGCCCTCTCGACCCCGCCAGGACGCCGCTCGCTTTGTTCCCCCAGGAGGACCCTGTCCCTCCTGTCTCCACCTCGTGGGGTCGCCTCTCTGCACTCCCGCGCTTCAGCAGGCTGAGTGCTTACACCACCACGCGGCGCTCCTCCTCGGAAACTGTGGGGGTGGACGAAGGTGGGTGGAGAGGGGCATCATCATTGTCAGCAGCAGATGCAGAATCATTATTATTCCAGCAGCTACAGCAATAGTCGCAGCATCGTAATCATCATCTAAAGTACCACTACTTAGCAGGAGCACTATCATCACCATCTTCAACTTCCCCAGCCATCACCAGATTGATAGTTCCCTACCATCACCATGCGTAAAGACATTAGCATTATCATCACTATCTCCTGCATATCCTAATCTCAATATAAGTATCGTTAAACATTATAATCAACATCATATCGATGATTGCACACTTGTAAATTGTTCTAGTTGTATTCAATAAATATCAGTCAACATTTGCATCACTAGAACATTCCGCGCCACTGACCCATTCCCCGCTGCCCTTCTCCATCCTCCCCTTGCTCCTTGGCCCCTGACCATCTGCCCACTTCCCCCCTGCTGCCCGGGCTCATGGTTACCCGCAGAGGGTTTGTATTTGGCTGTGATATCGAGGCTGCAATACATATCCACGTGATAAGCCACTTCGTTGAGCTATCATTTGTGATTGCCAGGTAGCTTCTGAGAAACACCTATATAGCTCATTGAGCTTTACCGAGTAAAATAAAAAAATGTTAAGTTTTTGTTAATCTGATGGGGAGGTACCACACGAACCACGACCACCGCCATCATCATGACCACTGTCAGGCTTCGTAGAGCAGGGTGCGTGTTTGTTGTCATCGTCTACGAGAGCTGCACGTGGCAAACCGGGGGCGCTGTCGCATGGCTCGGCGATTGCGCACTCGCTGAATGAACCTAGCAAGGGCCACGTGGTCAGCAAACGGGCAGTACAGCAACATGAACCCTTGCATAGTGCCCCGCTTCCCACGCCTGCAACCAACCCGCACCGACCAGCGTGAAGTATGGTCAACGATCCACTAGGTCGTGGCGGTGAGGAGGTCCCTATACAGCAACGGATTCGTGAAAGGGCGTGGACGCACATGCATCGTCCCACGTGATACCACCTCCGGGGCATGCCTCGCGACGCTCAGGTGAGCGTTACCTGCGCTCGCTTCCTGCGGGATAGCATCAACCGCCTGCCAGCCATCATGTCCCGATGGGAAGTCGGGTCTCTTCATTCGCGCCTCTTCATTCGTGCGTCGCTCCACGATTGGAAGTTCCTGGCACAGATGCGCGAGGTGGATGAATTGCAGTCCTGTCTGTGAGTGTGTGGGTTTATAAAGCTGCACTATGATGAATCCAATGACCCGATTCCCGCTTACGGCCACCATCACCAGTGGCGATAATCTGAACCGGTCCTGTATCTCCAGAGGTCGGCTTTAAATGAGTATCTGGTGCAATGTGAACACATTGCAACTCGAGTGACAAAGGCGGCCGAGGATGGTCCCGGCCAAGCACACAGAACACGTGTGAAACATAGAGATCATGCGTGAACCACGTGCAGATCATTCAGAAAGCCGGCAAATATGTTGTTTGATGTCACATATGGATCGTGTGTAGAACGCATACCGATCATACATAAGAAACAAACACCCAGGTAATGTATGAAACACACTCGTATGCTGTTGTAGGATACGTTGGTTCAGCAGGCGTATAGGGTGATTGATTACAATGTTAGTTTTTTTTCAATGGCGATAAAGAATCTTGTTCATTCATTTGCTGTCCACCTGTACACTCATTCATTCATGCGCTATCATATTCATCTGTGCATCTGTCAATCCACAAGGTACCTGCTATGATTACAGCAGTGATACTGACTGTGGTGGTAGCTGGTATGATTACAGCAGTGCATACAGTGGTGGTAGCTGCTTTAACTACAGCAGTGCATACTGTGGTGTAACCTGCTATGATTACAGCAGGGCAAGCGACAGTGGTGGTACCTTGTATGAATAAAGCAGTGCATACCGACTTTGGTGGTACCTGCTTTCACTGCAGCTGTGTATACTGTGGTGGTACCTGATATGATTACAGCTGTGTATACTGACTGTAGTGGTACCTGGTATGATTACAGCAGTGTATACTGACTGTGGTGGTACCTGGTTTCACTACAGCAGTGTATAGTGACTGTGGTGGATACCTGCTAGCACTACAGTAGTACATGCTGACTGTATAGCAGTATATATCGAATCTATAGCACAAAGTAGTAAGCAGACAGAGTGCCGAAGTGAGGCCTAGTCCCGTGCAGAGCCCCGGCCTCGCCTAGATTTCCCAGCCCGCCGAGGTGCGACCTTGGCAGGCTGGACCGCTCCCCCCGGCCGCGCTACAATAATGGCATGTACGCGCTAGAAGAAGAATATGTAGGGGCTCTATAGTAGTTTCAGGACGCATTGGGGTATCATTGGGGTGGGGTGAAGAGGACATCGCACTGTGAATAACTTACGTGTTCCGTGTGTTTTTGCTGCATGTTTAAGGCAAATTAAAATTTGCGCCGATCGTGTGCGCGTTGCTAGGGGCAACCCATGTGAGCAGTGCCAAGTGTAATTACACAAATGCTTATAGTACTAATGTGTGCGACTTACGTCTTGTATCTATTCTAACCTATAAACGTCACTTTTTGTCTGTCCGTCTGTCCCTCTGCGTACGCTCGTTTGCGAGGGATTTGGCGCTCGGGCCGTGGGGTTTAGGAAGAAATATTTTGCAGATGGGCACGCCCCCGGCCCCGCGGTGAATGTAGGCATTTCCGATTTTTCGTCCGTCGCCTTTAAATCGGTCCGATTATCGATTTTGTGCGATTTCTAGGGTCGGTAGATAATACAATTATAGCGATTAGACAGTATTTTTGTAGCGCGGGGGGGGGGGGGAGGTGGCGGCCCAGCCCCTAGCCTCGGCCGGGCGATCTAGGCGAGGCCGGAGGCTCTGCACGGTACTAGGCCTCGACACGCCACACGTCTCAGGCGACGACTTTGTGTTATAAACTCGATATACCCAGCGGTGCCCGGGGGGAAAATACATTTAAAATCTTCTGAAAACTTTAAAACATTACATACCAATGAAAATACAACTGTGCAATTACTTTTAAACCCGACGCGCCAAGAATCGATTCTCTGAATCGCGCGAAGGAATCGATGGTTGTAGATTCATTTAGAATCGCCCTCTTCCCGTTTAAAATAAGTTGATTATAGAGTCGATATAAACTGCTACGAATGGGAAATATCCGGCGTTGACCGAGGCAAAAATATTATTAAAAATTCCTGAAAACTTTCAAACATAACATGGTCAGGGTGAATGGTGAGGGTGAGTGGTGAGCGGTGAGGGTGAGTGGTTGTTGTGAGGGTGAGTGGCAGTTGTGAGTGGTGATGGGTGAGTGGTGAGCGGTGAGGGGTGAGTGGTGAGCGTGAGTGGTGAGGGTGAGTGGTGGTGGTGAGTGGTGAGGGTGCGTGGTGAGGGTGAGTGGTGACGATGAGTGGTGAGAGAGTGGTTAGTTTTGAGGGTGAGTGGTGAGGGTGAGTGGTGAGGTTGAGTGGTGAGGGTTAGTGGAGAGTGGTGGGTGGTGATTGGTCAGTGCTGATTGGTCAGGATGAATGGTGAGTAGTGAGGGTGAGGTTGAGTGGTGAGGGTGAGTGGTGAGGGTGAGTCGTGGTTGTGACGGTGAGTGGTGAGGGCGAGTGTTGAGGGTGAGTGGTGAGGCTGAATGGTGAGGGTGAATGGTGAGAGTGAGTGGTGAGGGTGTGATTGGTGAGGATGAGTGGTGAGTGGTCAGGGTGAGTGGTGAGGGTGATTGGTGAGCGGTGAGGGTGAGCGGTGAGTGGTGAGCGTGAGTGGTGAGGGTGAGTGGTGAGGGTGAGTGCTGAGTGGTGAGGGTGAGTGGTGAGAGAGTGGTTAGTTTTGAGGGTGAGTGGTGAGGGTGAGTGGTGAGGTTGAGTGGTGGGGGTTAGTGGAGAGTGGTGGGTGGTGATTGGTCAGTGGTGATTGGTCAGGATGAATGGTGAGTAGTGAGGGTGAGGTTGAGTGGTGAGAGTGAGTGGTGAGGGTGAGTCGTGATTGTGACGGTGAGTGGTGAGGGTGAGTGGTGAGGGTGAGTGGTGAGGCTGAATGGTGAGGGTGAATGGTGAGAGTGAGTGGTGAGGGAGAGTGGTGAGGGTGAGTGGTGATGGTGAGGGGTGAGTGGTGAGGGTGAGTGGTGACGAAGAGTGGTGAGGTTGAGTGGTGAGTAGTAAGGGTAAGTGGTGATGGTGAGGGTTAGTGGTGAGGTTGAGTGGTAAGGGTGAGTGGTGAGGGTTAGTGGTGAGGGTGAGTGGTCAGGGTGCGTGGTGAGGGTGAGTGCTGAGGGTGAGTGGTGAGCGGTGAGGGTAAGTGGTGAGGGTGAGTGGCAGTTGTGAGTGGTGATGGGTGAGTGGTGAGTGGTGAGCGGTGAGTGGTGAGTGGTGAGCGCGAGTGGTGAGGGTGAGTGCTGAGTGGTGAGGGTGAGTGGTGAGAGAGTGGTTAGTTTTGAGGATGAGTGGTGAGGGTGAGTGGTGAGGTTGAGTGGTGAGGGTTAGTGGAGAGTGGTGGGTGGTGATTGGTCAGTGGTGATTGGTCAGGATGAATGGTGAGGAGTGAGGGTGAGGTTGAGTGGTGAGTGGTGAGGGTGAGTGGTGACGGTGAGTGGTGAGGCTGAATGGTGAGGGTGAATGGTCAGAGTGAGTGGTGAGTGGTGAGGGAGAGTGGTGATGGTGAGGGGTGAGTGGTGAGGGTGAGTGGTGACGAAGAGTGGTGAGGTTGAGTGGTGAGTAGTAAGGGTAAGTGGTGATGGTGAGGGTTAGTGGTGAGGTTGAGTGGTAAGGGTGAGTGGTGAGGGTTAGTGGTGAGGGTGAGTGGTCAGGGTGCGTGGTGAGGGTGAGTGCTGAGGGTGAGTGGTGAGCGGTGAGGGTGAGTGGTGAGGGTGAGTGGCAGTTGTGAGTGGTGATGGGTGAGTGGTGAGTGGTGAGCGGTGAGTGGTGAGTGGTGAGCGCGAGTGGTGAGTGTGAGTGCTGAGTGGTGAGGGTGAGTGGTGAGAGAGTGGTTAGTTTTGAGGATGAGTGGTGAGGGTGAGTGGTGAGGTTGAGTGGTGAGGGTTAGTGGAGAGTGGTGGGTGGTGATTGGTCAGTGGTGATTGGTCAGGATGAATGGTGAGGAGTGAGGGTGAGGTTGAGTGGTGAGTGGTGAGGGTGAGTCGTGGTTGTGACGGTGAGTGGTGACGGTGAGTGGTGAGGGTGAGTGGTGACGGTGAGTGGTGAGGGTGACTGCTGAGTGGTGAGGGTGAGTGGTGTGAGAGTGGTTAGTTTTGAGGGTGAGGGTGAGTGGTGAGGTTGAGTGGTGAGGATTAGTGGAGAGTGGTGGGTGGTGATTGGTCAGGATGAATGGTGAGTAGTGAGAGTGAGGTTGAGTGGTGAGGGTAAGTGGTGAGGGTGAGTGGTGAGGCTGAATGGTGAGGGTGAATGGTGAGAGTGAGTGGTGAGTGGTGAGGGAGAGTGGTGAGGGTGAGTGGTGATGGTGAGAGGTGAGTGGTGAGGCTGAGTGGTGACAAAGAGTGGTGAGGTTGAGTGGTGAGTAGTAAGGGTGAGTGGTGATGGTGAGGGTTAGTGGTGAGGTTGAGTGGTAAGGGTGAGTGGTGAGGGTTAGTGGTGAGGGTGAGTGGTCAGGGTGAGTGGTGAGGGTGAGTGGTGAGGGTGCGTGGTGAGGGTGAGTGGTGACGGTGAGTGGTGAGAGAGTGGTTAGTTTTGAGGGTGAGTGGTGAGGTTGAGTGGTGAGGGTTAGTGGAGAGTGGTGGGTGGTGATTGGTCAGTGCTGATTGGTCAGGATGAATGGTGAGTAGTGAGGGTGAGGTTGAGTGGTGAGGGTGAGTGGTGAGGGTGAGTGTTGAGGGTGAGTGGTGAGGCTGAATGGTGAGGGTGAATGGTGAGAGTGAGTGGTGAGGGTGTGATTGGTGAGGATGAGTGGTGAGTGGTCAGGGTGAGTGGTGAGGGTGATTGGTGAGCGGTGAGGGTGAGCGGTGAGTGGTGAGAGTGAGTGGTGAGGGTGAGTGGTGAGGGTGAGTGCTGAGTGGTGAGGGTGAGTGGTGAGAGAGTGGTTAGTTTTGAGGGTGAGTGGTGAGGGTGAGTGGTGAGGTTGAGTGGTGGGGGTTAGTGGAGAGTGGTGGGTGGTGATTGGTCAGTGGTGATTGGTCAGGATGAATGGTGAGTAGTGAGGGTGAGGTTGAGTGGTGAGAGTGAGTGGTGAGGGTGAGTCGTGATTGTGACGGTGAGTGGTGAGGGTGAGTGGTGAGGGTGAATGGTGAGAGTGAGTGGTGAGGGAGAGTGGTGAGGGTGAGTGGTGATGGTGAGGGGTGAGTGGTGAGGGTGAGTGGTGACGAAGAGTGGTGAGGTTGAGTGGTGAGTAGTAAGGGTAAGTGGTGATGGTGAGGGTTAGTGGTGAGGTTGAGTGGTAAGGGTGAGTGGTGAGGGTTAGTGGTGAGGGTGAGTGGTCAGGGTGAGTGGTGAGGGTGAGTGCTGAGGGTGAGTGGTGAGCGGTGAGGGTGAGTGGTGAGGGTGAGTGGCAGTTGTGAGTGGTGATGGGTGAGTGGTGAGCGGTGAGTGGTGAGTGGTGAGCGCGAGTGGTGAGGGTGAGTGCTGAGTGGTGAGGGTGAGTGGTGAGAGAGTGGTTAGTTTTGAGGATGAGTGGTGAGGGTGAGTGGTGAGGTTGAGTGGTGAGGGTTAGTGGAGAGTGGTGGGTGGTGATTGGTCAGTGGTGATTGGTCAGGATGAATGGTGAGGAGTGAGGGTGAGGTTGAGTGGTGAGTGGTGAGGGTGAGTCGTGGTTGTGACGGTGAGTGGTGACGGTGAGTGGTGAGGGTGAGTGGTGACGGTGAGTGGTGAGGCTGAATGGTGAGGGTGAATGGTCAGAGTGAGTGGTGAGTGGTGAGGGAGAGTGGTGAGGGTGAGTGGTGAAGGTGAGGGGTGAGTGGTGACGAAGAGTGGTGAGGTTGAGTGGTGAGTAGTAAGGGTGAGTGGTGATGGTGAGGGTTAGTGGTGAGGTTGAGTGGTAAGGGTGAGTGGTGAGGGTTAGTGGTGAGGGTGAGTGGTCAGGGTGACTGGTGAGGGTGAGTGCTGAGGGTGAGTGGTGAGCGGTGAGGGTGAGTGGTTGTTGTGAGGGTGAGTGGTGACGGTGAGTGGCAGTTGCGAGCAGTGATGGGTGAGTGGTGAGCGGTGAGGGGTGAGTGGTGAGTGGTGAGCGTGAGTGGTGAGGGTGAGTGGTGAGGGTGAGTGGCAGTTGTGAGTGGTGATGGGTGAGTGGTGAGCGTGAGTGGTGAGGGTGAGTGCTGAGTGGTGAGGGTGAGTGGTGAGAGAGTGGTTAGTTTGAGGGTGAGTGGTGAGGGTGAGTGGTGAGGTTGAGTGGTGAGGGTTAGTGGAGAGTGGTGGGTGGTGATTGGTCAGTGGTGATTGGTCAGGATGAATGGTGAGTAGTGAGGGTGAGGTTGAGTGGTGAGGGTGAGTGGTGATGGTGAGGGGTGAGTGGTGAGGGTGAGTGGTGACGAAGAGTGGTGAGGTTGAGTGGTGAGTAGTAAGGGTGAGTGGTGATGGTGTGGGTTAGTGGTGAGGTTGAGTGGTCAGGGTGAGTGCTGAGGGTGAGTGGTGAGCGGCGAGG